AGTGCTTTGAACAACATAAAACCTTTCAAAGGCATCTGCTTCATATTACTTTATTTTATGAAGTACGTATGTATGTATTTACTTATTTATTTTTTAGACAAGGTCTCGCTCTGTCACCCAGGCTGGAGGGCAATGGTTCAATCTTGGCTCACTGCAACCTCGAACTCCCAACCTCCTAGTCTCAACCAATCCTCCCACCTCAGCCTCCTGAGTAGCTGGGACCATGGGTGTGCGCAGCCATGCCTGGCTAATTTTCGTATTTTTTGCAGAGATGAGGTCTTGCCATGTTGCTCAGGCAACTTGTCTCAAACTCCTGGACTCAAGCATTCTGCCCCTCTCAGTCTCCCAAAGTGCTGGGATAACAAGCAAGAGCCACCACACCCAGACTCAAGTAGTCTTTGAACAAGTAATTTTATTATCATATTTACTTACTCATCCATTCATTATCCAATCTAAATTAATTAGTAAGCACCTACCACATTAAGCAAACAACCTATGTATACATAAGAAACAATGTAAGGCCACGTGGAGTTTACTAACATAAAATGCTTGACTTCAAATATCTAACAACGCAGAGAAAATACTAGTATAAAAATACCAGGAATTATGTGTTAAATGCCAGTCATCCATATTCTCACATAAGTAGGTAAGAAAAAAAAAAAAAAAAGTCACTACTGATTCTCTCTCTCATTCATTTCTCTTCCTACTGCCAAAATCACCAGGAAAAATGGAAAGAGGAAAACATCAGAAAGAAAAGAATACTAACATATAAAGACACTCATAGAGACACAGGAATAAACGAGAATAAAGGAACAAGTTATTGAAATACAGCAAATGAAGTTATATCGTTTGTTCCTCAAACACATAAAAGCTAAGAAAATAAGAAATAAAATACATTGTTTTTTGGAGACGATTTCCTTAAAAAACACAAGAGTGTACCAAAACTAGTCTGAGCACTGATTAAAATGTAACATCCTTTGAGAGAAGGGCCAGATCTTAGTCAGGTATCGTGTATCATTTGGTGCACTGTTTGACATAAAGACACACAATAATGTTTCTTGAACTGAAATGCAAGACACATGTGTTTGATAAATGTCCATAAAATCACCATTCTAAAGAGTTCTATAATACCCTGGGAAGTAAATACAACTGGGGGTCAGCAACTAAGCATTAACTTCTTTACAAAATGCAAAACAATACTCAGACATGATTAAAAACTATAAAAAATGTTTACTAAAAACAGCTTCATAGCAAAATATTAAAAAGAATAAGATTTCAAACCAAAGCTCACTTTTTAATAGGCTGCTTAATAGGAGCTTTTACAATTACTAATGGACAGAACAAAGTTACAAAAGGACTTAAAAGGTCATTTACTCCTTTGCCCTCCGTTCAATTAGGAACACAATCAAACCATACCCCAGCAAGAGAAACATATCTAAAGACATCCAGTGAAGATTAGACCACCTTTAAAAACTATTTCATTTTTTTTTAAAACTACTCTCATAATCTATGCCTTGAGTTTATCTGGCAAATGCCGATATCTCACTTTTATCAGGTATTTTAGGGCACAATTTCCCTGGGAAATAAGTATAAGTATAGTTATCACTGAAGAGTAAAACATTTAAAATAATGTTGAGCCAGGTGTGGGCACATGCCTGAAATCGCAGCCACTGGGGAGGCTGAGAAAGGAAGGCTGCTTGAGCCCAGGAGTTCAAGGCTGCCGTGAGCTATGACTGCACCATTGCACTCCAGCCTAGGTGACAGAGTCAGACTCTGTCTCTAAAAAAAAATAAAATGAAATGAAACACTCTTGAGCACATTAAAATATAAACATATTTTCATTTACAGATGTTAACTATCAGTGAAATCACACATCAGTCCAGACATGAAATACTGTCAGAATTGAAGAATTTTAGAGCCATTGGGCTCTCAAATTATCTAGTGGAACTTCCTGTTTCTTTGAAGATGAAAACAAGGCAAAAACACGTTAGTATTAATGCCCTACACAATAACATTTTATAGCATTAAAGGACGTTTTATTTAAAAAAAAACATGATTAGTCCTCAGACTCAAATCATCACTTTGTAATATAACTACTACCTGATCCACCTGCTTAATATGGTCAAGTCAAGTCACGGAACAGGGCCTTTCTATCAGACAGAATTGGCAGTCCTGCCACACTGTTAGTAAGGAAGTGGGAGGAGGAGAACTGCTGTGAGTTGTTGAGCACTTTAGGGTTTACCTCCACTAAACTGTTTCAACTTCCCAAAATCAAATAAAATAGCATTAACACCTCATATGAAATAAGGGTACAGATTTGGAGACCTGCCTATGATCATACAGAAAGTTGTAGAAAGAAAATTAGACAACTTACTTGCTCTCCTTCTTCTCCCCTCCTTTGTTATGCTCTCTCCCAGTTCTTCTTCCTCTCTGCCTCCTAACCAGGGCCTCATTTGTAGGCTCCTCCCACAAACACATACACACAACTCTGTTTGTTTGGTTTTGTTTTGTTTTTTTCTGACCCAGAATCTTGCCCTGTCCTCCAGGCTGGAGTGCAGTGGTACGATCTTGGCTCACTGCAACCCCTGCCTCCTGGGTTCAAGCGATTCTCCTGCCTCAGCCTCCTGAGTAGCTGGGACTACAGGCGAGCGCCACCACGCCCAGCTAATTTTTGTATTTTTAGTAGAAATGGGGTTTCACCATGTTGGCCAGGATGGTCTCAATCTCTTGATCTCCTGATCTGCCTGCCTCAGCCTTCCAATGTGCTGGGATTACAGGCGGGAGCCACTGCGCCCAGCCTACACACATCTCTTAAGTGAGAGTACCACATCCAGACCTCTTCCTTTTTCTTTTCTACTCATTACTCCAATGTGAGCTGGTCCATTCTCCCCTGTAGCTTTAACTACTTATCTATATGCAAACTTCTAACTCCAGCCTGCTCTCTCTGAACTCCAGACTCAAATGCATCGCCACCTGAATATCCCACAGGAACCTCAAACAAATGCTTACAACTGAACTAATACCTCTTTCACCCTAACAAAAACCTCCTCATCTCAATCAATAGGTTCGCTATTACCTCAGTCGTGCTAGCCAGAAACTGAGGAATCAATCAGCTGAGAGCTCCAACTCTCTCTAACTCCCAACATCCAAACCCTATAAAGTCATACCAATTTATCTCTTAAATATTCCCTGAATCCATGTCTTTCTGTAACTCCAACGGCTTAGTTCAGACTCTTTATTTCTCTACTGTTTTTTTCTATTATACAACTGGCTTTTCTACTGCCTATAATCTTTCCCCACCCAGGTCCATTCTCTACACTGGAGCTGGAATTATCTTTCTAAAATACAAACCTAACGACACCACCACTCGAGCTAAAATTCTTCAATGGCTGCCCCATGTCAAGAAAAATTCTAAACTCTGAACACGGTGCCAAGTACTTTAAGATCTGGTCTCACTCACTAATGGTGAGCATTCTGGGATCTGGTCATTCAGAACTACCTAGCGTTCCCCAAATACAAAATACTCATTCTTCAATCTATCCTTTGTTCATGTTGTGCCATCCATTTGTCCTAGAATGACTTTCCTCTTCATCACTCCAGTGAAAGCTTATTCAACTATTTTAACACAAGTTAAAAGTCAAATCATACTGAAGGCCTCCCCTGACTTCCGTAGACAGTCAGGATCTTTCTACTAATTGACAGAGAAAATGGTGAGTGCTTGAGATCATGACCAGACCCACCTGGGCTGAAATCCCAGGTTTACACTTGACCAACCATGATTTTGTGCAGGGCCTCTAAAGCCTGTTTCCTCATCTCTAAACATCAGTAACTACTTCACCAGCTGTTTTGAGGATTTACTGAGGAGCTGCATGCAAAATACTCCGCACAGCACCTGACATATTCAATAAATGTTACTGTTAGGTGATTATTTCCTCTGGGCTCCTATAGCAACTTGCACATATCTCTACCACGCTATTGGGATGACATGACTGCCCATGCAGGATACAGACTATCTTTTTTCATCTCTTTATTCTCACCACCTGGCATAATGCCTGGCACATAGGTTCTTAACAAATTTTGAATGAATAAATACTTCAAACCTTATATTCTATCACATAACGCCTCAATTTTGTTTTCTACCTGTCTTACTAAACCTACTTTCCATCTCCTCCTTGTACAAAATTGCTACCTCAAGTAAAATTTACACAGGTCAACTTCATTTTAATTAAGAGAAAGTTTTATAGGATTTGTGGTCTTTTTGTTTGTTTTTAAACACACACACACACAAACTCACAATAATATCAACAATTCTCCAACTTACTCCATAAAGCAGCACATTTCCAGGATGGTTATCTACCTATTGAAAAATTTTAAAGGGCCGTCAAGGAAGGTTTTCTAAATCTGTGTCAGCTTCCTTTACCACCAAGTCTTGAGTCAACTCTAAGGACTCAAGTGTACTCCTGAACATAAAAAATATATAAATAATTAATTAAATAATTAAAACATGGTATTTTTCCTTCCGAAAACATGCTGAGAAATTCTGAATAACACTGGAATAATCAAAGAATTATTGCTTCCTACTGCTAAAAAAAGTATGTTTTTAAAAGTTACTAGTAATTTAAAACTGAACTAATCAAAGTATGTGTAGGCAGTGTTCAGGCTGGCAAGGGGGGGTGGGGTGGAGCACCCATTTCACAACCTTGAACCTCAAAAAATAAAATGCAAAAATGCTAAAAGTTAAAAATGCCAGATCCCACCATATAATAGCAATGACATCTTTTTATCTAATTCTACACTTAACCTTTAAACATTACGGCCCTTTGAGTAATTACCAATTGATGGGTTTAATATGCAAATACCTCTGAGCTACTTTAAAACAAACATGACTAACCCAGAAATAAACGTATCCAGGAAAAGAGAAAAGCCTGTGAAAACACGGTTTCTCGGGTCTCACAACCAATGTATGACATACATACGGTTCTGCACCGAGAGGCACCAACCTGCGAGGGTCAGAGGCGCCGAAGACCCGAGGCCCTGCAGCTTGGGCGGCTGCTCATCCCTGAGACTGTGCAGGGCGGTGGCCCAGTCGGGGTGGGGCTGAGCGCTGTAGCTGGGGCGGTCCCAGCGACTGGGCTAGAAGCCCGAGGCTCACCTCCACTTCCCTTTCCCAACGCACAGAGCCCAGGTCCGCGACCACCCAACAGCCCTCTCAAGACAAAGAGAGATTTTTTTTTTCTGTCCCGGTCCGCTCAAAGTTTATCAGTCTTTCCCGGCGGTCGGGGCCGCCGGGCTTTGTAGTTCGGCAGTCCGAGCTACCCCGCCAAGGCCGCGAGCCCGAGGAGTCACTGAACTACAATCCCCATGATGCACAGCGAGCCTGGCGCTCCCGCGCCCCTCCCAGTCCCCGCACGGGAGCCAGCGCCCGAGGAACCCCGCAGCCCACCGCCCTGGCGTTTCCGGCGGTGGGAGGCCGGGAGGGGCTATCGGCTAAAGCCCCGCACTACCTGCAGTATCGCTTGAGCCCCTGTCCCTCGGATTCATTACCTAGAAGGCGCAGGTCCGGGCACAGCCGGCGATGCGGTCCAGATGGGTTGGGGGTGGGGCGCAGGCCGCCGCCGCCGCCGCCGAGTCCGTTAGTTCGCGACGTGCGTGAAGAGGCGGCGGCTGCGTAGGGTTGCCATGGCACCCCGGCCGCGCGGTGGGTGCAGCGCGGGAGGGAGCGCGGAGGCTGTGAGTCCGCTCTGGGGCGGAGCTTGGGACTCCAGCCCAGGTTGCCGGGGGAGGGAGGTGCAGCGGCGCAGGGTGGGAGAGCAGGGAGACGGTGACATTGAGGAGGACGTGTGGCCGACTGAGCTCTGGTCGTGCTTGATGAGCCCGCCTCCACCGCGTCCATCCCCCGTGGCGGGGCACCTTCGAGCCTGCTGTTTTCGGAGGGGATGCCAGTGGCGTCGAAGGAGGGGGCACCGGGGCGTCGCAGCGCCCTTCCCCCGCCTCCTGTCCAGGCTTCCACCGCTGGGTCTGCCCCCATGGGATGTGTGGATCCTACGCCACCTCAGTATTTTTCTGCAGTCAAACCGAATTGAAGTCTTTCGCACCCGCTTTCTCCATTCTCTGGGGAGTGGGATGGAAAGGAATCCTTCGATAAGATGGAATGCATATGGCCTTTAGGATTATTCAGGAGGTTTTAGAACTTGCAAATGGCATTGCTTTCGACTGAATTTGGATTTATGCTGTTTCTTGGGCAATCGTTTGTGGACTCTAGGATAAACAGGTTAAGAGCGTGGGCTTCTAAAACGAATTCTTAGTTCACGTCCTGCCCCTATACTTGGTAGCTGATGACCAAGGGCGCGTTTCTCACCTCTTAACGCTTTGATCTGCAAAAATGGAGATATCCATCTTGCAACTCTTGTAAGAAATACATGCATTAATACTGATGAAGCTCTATAAAACAAAGCTTAGCATTTAACAATAGCTATTAAATATTAATTATTTAATCAATAGTGATAAAAGAATAGTGGTTGGCCGTCGGGAAGGAGTTTGAGAGAATTTTTTGTAGTGATGAAAAAATTCTATAGCTAAGGGTTTCGGTTACAGAAGTATATGCATTTGTCAGAACTCTTGGATTGGAACATTTAAGATTTGTACATTTCACTGCATGTAAATTTACCTCAAAACAGAACATAAAAATGTGTTGTTATTATTATTAGAGCTATAGACTGTAATAGAAACCACAGAGATATTCTAAGCCCAATCTCTAGATTTTATAGATGAGAAAACTGAAGTCCAGAGATTTAATAGAAAAAAAGAGGAAGGGGAGTGAATTCGTGACCTTGTCGTTTTCTGGTAGTGAATATCTCCTGAAAAATTATGGTTGACAATAACAAGGCACTATGCCTGTAATCCAGCTGAGTCATCGTACCACAGAGATTTTCTTGAACTTGACTGAGTCCCTTATCCACCTTTTGTTGTTCCCCACGGACAATGTCCTCTCAAGGATTGCACCGTCACTTCTGGCTCTCAGTTCTTGCTTTTTCTGAACACTTAGACTTCTCCACATATCACCTCTTAAAACTCTTTTCTCTCTACTCCTGCTGACACATAATGTCGAAATCAGCGCCTTTTCTTTGGTTGTTCCTATAGCCAACTCTTTGGAAGGTTTGGAGCAGATGAGTGGTTTTAAATTAAGGATGTAAAAAACCTAAAATTAGAAATTCCTGCTCTTAAAAGTCCTTCAATTCCTCCCGTGATATTTTTATCCACCTACCACCTACCCCCATTTTTTCATCATTACCTGTAACCTCCCACTATCGTACTATCTCTCTGGTCCCATCTGTCCCCTCCTCTCTTCTCTCTTTATACAACACTTTTATTTTTATCTCCTAATCTGTGCCGTTATAGCTACCTACCATTCCTAAACTGTTTACCAAAGTATTTTCCTATACAAAGTAACTTCCCAAGGGAAACTCTGGAGCCAGCTATTAAAATAATTTTTTTTTACGTATGTATCCTCATGCTCTATTTGATTCAGTCCACAGTGTCACTGCTCAATAAATATTAAGCAGCTTAGGTACATGACCTGTTGATACGGTTTGGCTGTATCCCCACCCACCTCTCATTTTGTATCGTAATAATTCCCACCTGTCAAGGGCAGGGCCAGGTGGAGATAATTGAATCATGGGGGCGGTTTCACCCCTACCGTTCTCGTGGTAGTGAGTAAGTCTCGTGACATCTGATGGCTTTATAAATGGGAGTTCTCCTACACAAGCTCTTTTGCCTGCCACCGTGTAGGAAGTCTCTTTGCTCTTCCTTCATCTTCCTTCATGATTGTGAGGCCTCCCCAGCCATGTGGAAGTGAGTCCATTAAACCTCTTTCCTTCATAAATTACCCTGTCTTGTGTATGTCTTTATGAGCAGCATGAAAACGGACTAATACACCTGTGCTTCTTACCTTCACAGTGGGTTCACTTATGAAACCCATTTTCTTACATCCATAATGGTGGTTTACTCTATGTAGTATAAATGAGGAAGCTGTGTGATAATAGCTGGAATCTGCTGTCGAAGAAAAGAAACCAAAGTAACCATAGCTTGTACAGAAATGACAGCACTTTAGAGATGAAGTCCGGAATAAAGTCTGGGTATTAAGCCAGAGGACATCCTTATAGGAACTTGAACCTGTCACCTGCAGCAGTTTGGTCACAACTCTGCATATGTAATGAGCATGTAAATAAATTCTCCTTTACTCCTGGAGAAGATGTTACGGATCTGCTATACCAGATGAACACATGTTTGTAGTAGGGATAATAGGTTCACCGGATCCATCTATCCCTGATCTGGTTTCCCTTGTGACCAGTCGCTTGTCTTTCTTTGCAAGGCAGTGGGCCAGAGTTGTAGTGCAGCCTACAGCCATGATGAAGTCTCCAAAGGCAAGGTCCCAGTGCATAACGCTCCTCGTTTTGTGAAGCCAGAATCCCAGAAAATCAGCTCAGCAGGACAGGCCACTTCCGAATGGATGACAGCAGCACAAACAAAAGTTGCTTTGCAGTGAGTTGGAGGTGGGCAGTCGCGGGAGGGAAGACCACAAGCCACCGAAGCACAGCCTTAAAATGCCTCACGTGGCTGTGGACAGGTAGGAAGGAATAAGGACCGATGGTAAACCATAGTTCATTGTTTTCACCAGATACTTTGGACCTGTTCAAGTCATAGTTAAACACCCTATGCAAAAGCAAAAGATGGAGCTGAAAGTAGTAGCACACTAATCCACACAGGCAGTGTGGTCGAGAGCCACCACCCTCATTTCCAGCGCATCTGGTTTACAGTTGAGGTCTTTCCTCAGTTCTTGGCGTTCTTGGCCTCTCTAGCATTTGACTTTGCTGACCACGCTCCTTGGTAGTCCTTGACCTTGGATCTCTCCAGAGCTTTCCAACCAGACTTCACTGTGTTATTCACCAGCTCTTTTACCTGCTCCTTAAATGTGAGGATAGTTGCCAAGGTTCAGTGACTGCACCTTCTCCATTTGCAAGCTTCCGCCTCGGCCATGGTTGACGCTCCAATTTCTCTTGCTAGTTCTGACCCACAAGTTCCAGCACTGCACAAGCAGGACTACTCTTCCTTAACTTGTTCTGTTACTTCTGTTCTCTTCTCCTGAGATGCCAGCCCCTTACCCCCTAAGGTCTATGTATTCTGAAAACAAACCTTCACATGAAGCCTTTCCAGATCATTCCTGCTCAGTAGTCATATCACCCTGCTCTGTGCTCAGAATATTTCCTGTCAATCTCACTCCCTGGACAGCTGACCATACTGCTGAGTGGCTGCTCATCTATTGTTTACTCATTGGGTTTTTGTCTTTTCTCACTATATTTCAAGCTCCTCCAACGTGCATTTCTGGGTATTCTCAAAAACACCTTCATAATACCCGACATATAATAAGGGCACAATAAATGTTTTTGATTGGTAGTTCTTTTAACTTTTCCCCTTAGCAAAACCTTCTTTATCTGGTAGCTGTCCCTCTTCTACTACTATACAGGACATTTACAGCCTCTTGATATAAATTTCCCTGAAGCCTATAGAACTGTGGGTCCCCATACATGTTCAGTGGAGGAGAGTACCTTGGGAGGTAATTCCTTAAGTCGCTGTTGCTGTGGAAGGAATTCAGTATGTAAGTAGCACTGAATTGCAACGCTCAGGCCCTCTTACCCGTGAAGATCTAGAACAGAGTTTTCCTCACTGTGGGTCATAGCCTATTAGTAGGTCATGAAGTCAGTGTGATGAGTCTCTTCCAGCTTTGTGATATTTAAAATGTGATAAGGCAAGGTAGTGTAGGGTAAAGTAGAATGCAGTAGAAAATGAAATCCAGAGGGGATGTGCATGGTTAGGGTCAAGTATTGTATGACAGTAACTGAGCTGTCATCTTTCAGCTTCAAACCTACCCTCTGTCCTCTGGTTTTTGGAGGTGGGGCTGGAATTGTGCAAACCACATTTCTCCTTTGTCATCTGCGTGGAGAGGTGGGGGCAGCACAGCAGGACCAGAGGAAGCGCACAAGGCTGGAGGAGAGGGAAGCAACTTGCTCCTTCCTGATGGCCTGCTATGCTTGGCAGCATCACTCCTGCCACAGACTTTCAGCCTGGTAGAGCTTCTACTTGTCTCCAGCTTCTTATTGTATCTCAACCAGCCTCATCGCGTGTCTTCTTCCTGCACCCCAGAGCATTACCCGCAGCAGCAGCCAGCCAGTGTCCTCCTTCAGGAGCCTGTGCCCCAGCTTCAATGGGCCTTTCCTGCAAACCCCA